GAGAGGCAGCTCTTCCATGGGACAGAAGCTGGCTCTGTGCCATATGTTAATACAAATGGCTTTAACCGCAGCTATGCTGGGAAGAATGGTAAGGAAGTGGGAATCTGGCTGCCCTGAATGACAGGACACCAAGCTGCCTGGGGACAGTAGGAATTCACTGTGTTCCCTTGTGCCAGGTGGCCAGTTTGAAGTCCAAGTTTCAGGGTTGGTCTCACTGTATTTCCTTCCAAAGGACCTGCCTCACCCTGTGACTTAGAAACTTTGAGTTTTAGTGGGGAGGATGGGAAGGGATGGGAAGGAGGAGGATACAATGCTTGGTAAGAAATGTACTCATTATCTTGCCCATGTAACTGTAACCCCTCTGTACAGTATTTTCACAATAAAAAAAATAAAAAGAAAGAAATTTTGAGTTTTAAACATTGTTCTTATAAAGGTGATATACAGAGGGTTACAGTGTCATAAGTCAGGTAACAAGTACATTTCTTCTTGGACAATGTTACCCTTTCCCTGCTCTCTCCCAGTTTTTGCCTTCCATCCCCACCTACAAGTTGTATAGTTCACTTTCAACATAGTATCCAGTGAATATCAGGGCTGCATTTGCTCATCCTTTGTCCCTCCATTTCTTAAAGTACACACTCTAAATATTTAACTGAATATTCTTCTTACATTATTTGACAAAGTGGGCCAACCATGTCAAATTGTATACTATGCTGGAATTCTTTAAAATGATTTGTTTTTCTCTTCACAGATGTATGCTATGGAAAGGGAACCTATTTTGCTGTCCATGCCAATTATTCTGCCAATGATAGGTACTCCAAACCAGATGCAAATGGGAAAAAGCACATGTATTTTGCACGTGTACTCACTGGAGACTATACAGTTGGATCTCAGACAAGCATTGTGCCTCCGCCGAAGGACCCTCATGCTCCTACTGGACTTTATGACACTGTTGTAGATAATGTTCACAATCCAAGTTTATATGTGGTATTTTATGACTACCAAGCATACCCAGAATACCTTATTACTTTCAGACGATAACATCTTTCTTCCTTCCCAAAAAATACTGTTCATAGTCACCTATCTGGTTATAAGACAAAGTTTAGTTGTTGTGTTTTTCTCTAACATCAAATCATTTTAAGTGAAGTAAGCTGGTCCTTTAAAGACAAATACCACATTTTTTTTTTGCTCACTTGTGAAAGCTAAGGGAAAACGAAACAAAATACAAAGAAGGTCATGATAATTGGGAGAAGGGAAAGAGATGGGAGGGGAGGGGAGAAGGAATACATGAGGAAGGGGAACAAGAAACAGCCACAGAGGAGGTGGAATATAATCAAACAACACTCTATGTGTATATGGAAATAGCAGTAAGAAAACCTCTGCTTTGTACAATTTAATTCATGCCAATTTTTTAAAAAGGAAAATCATTATTGCCTGGTATATAATGAGATCATTAATACTAAAACTTATTTTTGTTCATGACTTCCAATCACTGACAGAATATAGACTTTAAGAAAGAAGTTTATATGTAAGATGAAGATAGAATTTATTTTAATTTAGGGAGATCACCAACTTACAGAACCAGAAAATATTTCCCCAATCTCTTCCACAAAGCAAAGCTTTTTAGGATGTACTTTCTGACTGATGAGAGGTAGAATATCAGCCAGCCTTGACTCCTGGTCCTTCCACTTCACAACCACAGATAATATTTGTGTAATAATTCATATCTGTACTTTAGGGTTGATCTTGATCAATCATATTGATTGATATATTATCTTCATGTTAACTTGGAATCACAAGGAGGAAGGACAGTTCGAGGAAGGTGCTCATGGTTGAGCTGAGAAAGACACAGATTGAACAGACGTCACCTGTTCCTAATCAGTGACCTGCCCTCATCCCATAGAGTTAAAAGGTAACACCCATGTATACCACAGATTGTCTTCTCCAGGGCTTGGCTTGCCACATGAAATGCAATGTGCAGGATGTTAAGTTGAAACCTATGGAAGGGAGAGAGAGGAAGTAGAATTGGTCAAAGAGGTCAAGCTGTAATGCAGGCCTCAAAACAGCCTCAGAGAAATGCCATGGGTTGCTCAGCTCACAGGATTAAAAACCTGTAGGAACTGTATTTATGATAGGTTAAGCCTCTATGCTTCCCTTCCATTGGCTGGGGCTGTCCTACGAAAGGTATGGCCTGGGCAAGATGGCTGTGAGCAAGTCTGAACAGGTTGAGCAAATCACACTTCCAACAGCTAAGTCAAGACACCCTTCCATAAAGGGGACTCTGCATGGTACAGAGAGAGATTTATACTAGACAATAGAAGTTTGCAGACAAACTGAAAGGGAAGATGTTGATGAAGTAGACAAAGTTAAGTTCAATCCTAAAGTGCAAACATATATTGAACAAATATTCACTGTTGTACAAATATTGGCTATTCGGTGGAAGAGTAACCAAGGACATGGACACTTCTATGCTGAAGGCTACTCCCACACAAGGCTCCTCTTCCCTGGATGGCGGGGTACTAGCTTTCTAAGGAGGAAAAAAGCTTTCAGAGGGAAGATGCAAAAGAAAGTAGAATTGAGAGAGGATGAGTACGCTGTGGTGGGAGTGGGCTCAAATGAATAATGCAAAAGAAAAACCCAGAAGACAAAGTGCTACAGAGACTGAAACTCAATGCTTTCCTTCAGAACCTTCTGTGGATTTTAATACTTGCTATCAGATCCCCTGGAAGCTCCTATCCAAGCACTCAGCAATAATTAACGTGTAATAATGAATAATGTCTTTGTAAGGCATCCAGAAATGGACACTGACAACTTACCTAAATAAAGATTTTCTTTTGAAAGATGAAAATAAATCTGATCCTTTTTTTCTTATCAACTGATGATGGAAAGAAAAAGAAAACTAACTTCCCAGTTCTGGACCTCCAAATACTGAGGGATTGGAATTGCTGATTTCCCCCGGTGTTTGGGGGGGGGGGGGGGGGGGGAGGTGAAACAGGAACCAGGCCTTGTCACAATCATGTTGTTTAGCTGAGGGCTGGGATCTACCTGTTTTGTTTTCTGCACTTGCCCTGCAGGGGTCCAGGGTGGTTTAGAGCAGATCACCAGCACCACCTGCCGGTAGAATATTGCAGGTGCTTCAACTCTATTATACCAAAAGTATAAAAGCTCAGGAAATGTCTTTGGCCTATAGAGTAGTTGATTTTCTTCATCTTAAAATTCAGCTTCACTGTGATTAAGACATGAAATGCAAGATCTAGAGGTGAGAGAACCTTTGACACTGGCAGGCTCTGACACCTCACCCTCCTACAGACTCCGTAGGGATAATCGCCCACTGCCGTGTACAATGGACAGGCTGCTGTGTGCCCTCAATCTCTCCCTCTCCCTCTTCCTTTCCCTCTTCCTCTCCTCTCTCTCCCTCTCCAATTCTCTCTCTCTTTCCTTCTTCCTCTCTCTCTCTTTGGCTTGCCCCTGATGATTTGGAACTGTCCTCTTTCTACATATGCCACCTAAGAAGGACTTCCACTTTCTCCTATCTGTCATCCTCCTGTCCTACCAAAGTTTACTCATGCCAGAGACCTTCCTATCTTAAAAATATTTAATCCAGGAAACAAATATAACATCCTCTGATCTCCTGTGACACCTCCCCCCTCCCATCCCCAGCGGCTGCTAGCTCCCCCTCTCCCCTGCACACAGCCCCTTCCCCCACCCCTCCCCCATCCCTCCCCCCACCCCCAGCCCCAGCCCCACCCCCACCCCAGCCAACTCTTCTGGGAACTGCTGGCTGTACTTGCTGACTCTGCTTCTTTCCCTCTTCCAGTCCTCAGGCCAGTGCCCTGGCTTTCTTCCCTCCTCTTCAGCCGATAGGGCTGCCAGGGCTCCAGCATGTCAACACACTCTGCTCGGACTGGAGATATCTAACGCTGGAAGGAAGCATAAGGCCCCTCTGCCACCGGAAACACTCCCCACCTGGAGAATACACGCTTTTCAGTCTCTCTCCCCCACTCTGTCTGGCCTCCCTAGGATCCTGACAAATGTTATCCAGCCACTCCCTTGTGTGTCCCATAGGTAATAGTGCAGTGAGACCTCTTGAGTGTTTCCTTTGCTTCTGGCTCACAGGCTTCAGTACCAATTTAGACTCCATCGTGTCCTCATCGTCCTCGGCCAGCACCCTGGTCCTCACTAGTCTCCCCTGGTCCAGGCCCTTGGGCTATCATATGGCTGGTCTCTGACTCCACTTCACCCACCAGGACTGACCAGATGGAGCTGAACAGAGAAATCACACCATGGAGTCCTCTCCAATTCCCAGCCCTCAAGGTTATCTGGGTCAACTCTAAGGCCCAGGTGGCACTGATGCTGTGCCCAGCCCTGCAGGCTCGCACCCTGGGTGAAGAGCCTCATCCCTAGTTTCAGGAGCCTCTTGCTCTCTGTCCCAGGGCACCACTGGCTCCTGGCCCAACTCCCTGTGCCTGCCTTTGCCCTAGCCCTTGCGGGAACTCTGTGAGAAGGATTTGGGCGGATCCATCCAGATGATAAGACACTGGTGACGTGTTCCGAACCCCCCCCCCCCCCAGGGTCTCATTTCCCTGACATTGGCAAACATCCAGCCTTGACAGTCCAGGAAAACTAGCTCAATGGCAGAACGCAAAGCTGGGATCCATCCATCTATGGCCAAAGCCATCAAGATCACAGTTTAAGAATCACTTTTTTTAAAAAAATCTCTTGTTAACAATAGCAACAACCAAAGACGACTTGGAAGAAAACTGGAATGACTCTGAGCGTCAGCCTGGGTCGACACATGGGGGGGCCGATGCCAGCCCCAGAGGATTCGCGCATCTTTGCTGGGGCCTGGGATGAAGGTGGGGAATTGGGGAGGGGGGAGGGAGGGGGTTGGTGGAACTATCAGAATCCTGAAGCCGCTGAGCCCCAGACCGAAACTAAAGGCCAGATGGAGTTTCCTGGAAACGAAAGCGAAAGGGGCAAAAGGCGCTTTCCGGGTCCGGCAGTCGGAGCAGAGGCACCCAACCGAGGATGTCTGGCGCGGGCCCCTTCCCGCTGCTGGTGGAGGGGTCCTGGGGTCCCCAGCCCCCCAAGAACTTAACTATCAAGCTGCAGAAGTACTTCCAGAGCCCGAAGAGATCCGGAGGCGGCGAGTGTGAGGTCCGCCAGGAGCCCGGGAACCCACAGCGCTTCCTGGTGCTCTTCTTCCCAGATGATGGTGAGGGGCGCAAAGGAAAGGTTGGGGGGCGGGGGGGGGGGGCGAGTTATCTGCCGTCTTCTCCAGCAACCCGGGAAGGCGAGTCGCAGTGTGGTGGACGGGGTCGCAAAATGGACACAGAGTCCACCCAAGGGTGCTTTAGTGCCTTGTGTACACCGAGCTGCTTCTGGGAATCTATCAACCTCAGATCCTCCTCTGACTTTCCCGTTGTTAAAGGAAAGAACGAGATTAGGAAACATGCGGGTCGCAGGGACTCCTCAAGGGTGGTGGATGTAACCAGTGGTTCTGGGGTCCCTGGGGAGGGGGGCAGAGGCCCTGTCACCTGCTTTGCGTTGCTAGTGGAGGGGAACGGGAGAGGGTCCTGTCCAGGGACCCCTGTCTCCCCTCCTCCGTGTCATGGTGGTCCACACTTTCGGGAGCACCGCTGGCATTCCGTGGGTTGAGAGTTTTGATTCTGGGGCAAGTTCTGTCCTACTAAGCAGCTGAGCCCCGAGAGCGTCCCCCCTACCCCCCACCCCGTTCATCACCCTAGTGGATTCATGAAGGGAGATCTAGAGCCACTTGTTAATTGCTTGCTCAGGGCTGTCCTGGAAACTCCAGCTTCTGTTCCAGCCTGCCACCTCCCCCCTGGGATTTCTTAGCCTGGTGACAACCACCAGTGGTCCTTGGGATGCAGACAACAGTCATCTTCCTGTCTTTGGACTTGAGGAGAGGCAAGGAGGCTCTGGGGCCCTGCAGTTTGGAGAGATACAATGCCCCAACAGGGGCCTGGGAAGGGGAAATTGAAGGAGAAAGGGAAGGGCGCAGCCAGGTTAGCAGGAGAGGCAGAAGGGAACAAGAGACCCGCTTGGCCCTTCTTATAGAAGACTAAGAACAGTTCTCTCCAAGGATTAATTCCACCACAGAGTGCTCAGAAGGAGAACCGCATAATGTTAAGTCATTCCCCTTCTCCTTTCCCCTTTTCTAGAGGCTCCCCCACTTTGATTCCAGCATCAGGTCACCTTTAGGGGGTTCTTTCTTCTCTAAAATCCCACTGTCCTCGGGAGCAGCTCTCAGGTTGGTGTACAGACCACCTGCAACCTGGTCAGCTGCAGGACAGGTTAGCCGGGCACATTCCCAGCTCTGTGCTAGAGACTCAGTGCAGGGGATGTGATAATGGATAGAAATCAGCCGTTTAACCAGCCCTGGCAGCTTAAATTTAAGAATCTGTTGTTTGTTGATAACCCCAATTGAACAGAACTGGAATTTAATATACAAAATGGCAGCAGCAGAGGAGTGCCATCTCACAAAATATAATTTTTGTGACAATAAAGTGAACTTAATTTGAGCCTTCAAGCGGACACAATTGCAACCTCTCTGCTCAGCTTTCTTACTCCCCAGTTTTCCCAGTCCACTCCCCCTCTCCCTCTACACCCACAGGCTGCTCTAGTGGTCCCATTGGTTTGCCCCCTCAGCACAGACAACTCAAAACTTACTAAGACTCAAAACTGTTTAGTGGCCAACACTCTGAGGGTGTTGAAGTCCCCATCAGAATCTGTTTCCCATTTGAGGAACAACTTCCTCCCAAACATGGCTAAGCAATGCCTGGCCTCTCCAGACAGTCTTAGGAAATGCATTCTTGTTCTAGAGAGAATGACCGGAAGTAGTGTCGGGGGGCGCAGGTCACAGTATATGGGAGCATATTTACTCATATAAATATAAATAATCTGAAGGAAGCCAACCAGCACTATTTGAAACATTTATTCTATAGCAAAGAGAAACAAATAAAAAGCTGGATTTCACTTTCTGTATAGTCTAGATATCTGAGCAGTTGCATGCAAATTTACTTGTAGCTCTTTTCTGTGCTGGGAATCAGTCTTAGGCTACTGGTTCATGTAACTCATGGAAGTGTTCTCTATATTCACTGAGCAACATTCCCAGCTCCTAACAAAACATTTAAATCTTGGTTTAGAGGTGTACTTTTTTTTTGGGGGGGGGGTCAGTCGTGGGGCTTGAACTCTGGCCCTCGGCGCTGTCCCTCAGCTCTTCAGCTCAAGGCTAGCACTCTACCACTTGAACTACAGGGCCACTTCCGGTTTTCCGGTGGTTTATTGAAGATAAGAGTTTCATGAACTTTCCTGCCGGGGCTGGCTTTGAACTACGATCCTCAGATCTCAGCCTCCTGAGTAGCTAGGATTACAGTTATGAGCCACCAGCTCCCAGTTTAGAGGTGTGCTTTTTAATCATGATTTCTCATCATAATTTGACTCTTGATCATTGCTCAGGAGCAATGGCTTTCCTTAATAAAATCAAATGTGGACCACCTAAATTTGGTGTAGGACGAAGGCTGTTCCTATGGGTGAGAGAAGCTGGACATCAGTTTCTGCTCTTCTTCCTCCCAGATTCACCTACTTTCACATACTCACACTACTACCATCTCTCTTCTGGAATACCACACATCCACACATACTGCACACAGTCTGAGAAGTGACTGGCATGTTCAGATACCTGGATAGACTGACAAAAGTCCAGGAAAGAAGGAAAGGAATGCAACACAGAGGTACAAGGTCTCGGATATTGTGGCATATAAAACAGCACACATTTAGCTTTCTTTGGTCCTACCCAGTCCTCTATCCTCACTCTTGTTCAGTATAGCACCCTCATAAGGAGAGGAGTTAAGAGCTTGGAGTTTCTTCTTAGTTTCATTCAAAGACCTGTTTCAGATTCTAAGGCTCATCATGGTTCACTGAGACACAAAGGTATTCATGCTGCCCTTTAAAAAATTCTCTTGAGTCAGATCAAAACACAGGTAACTCAGGATTCATTCCAGAGTCACAGCTGTAAATATTAGAGCTCTAAAAAGCCTCTTTCTGAACTCAGCACTATCTCGCTCTGGTGACCACACCCATTCCTGTAAATTCCTCCTTCCATTTCCTTCATGATCTGAGACATACTGATTGCTTTTTTCTCTCTCTGGCCACTCTTGCCAACTCCCTGGCTCTCTGTTGATACATAACTACAACTTATATCCACTTAGTTTTTGAGAACATTACCAAGCACATTCACATACAAAATGTTAAGTAGAGAAGCTGAGGCTTCAGAAAAATTAAGGTATTTCCTATGGTCATTCACCTAGTTTATTGTGGAGTTGGAAGTTGAATCTAGATCTTTGGATTCTTATATCCACTACCTAGTTTTTCAATGTAGCTCATCTATTGTTTCTCTCTCTCTCTTCTATTTTTGCTCTCCTATCTCTTCTTTCCTACTCCCTTTACTACCAGATGTGAGGTCCTTATCATAAGACAGAGGAATTGGTTGAAATGCTTTCTAACCGTACTTCTAATTCTGTTCCTGGCTATCTGAGTTACCTTTCTGAAGCATGGTTGCATCCTTCTATGTCCTAGGCTTCCCTAGCTCTCCATGGGGTTTGCTTTCTCTATTTCACCTCAGCATACATTAATACTGCTGCCTTTTGAATACCCACTGAGTGTCAGGTACTGTGAAGTGCCTTAAATGTGTCTTCAATTAAATGTACCCAGTCTTAGTATAAGACAGTATCCATTTGCCTCATTAACAGATGAGACTTGAGCTACTTTGTAATTAATGCTCATTAACCAACATGCTGTCTGTGCTAGTCAAATTGCCAGTACAATGAAAACAGGAGAAAACACCTTTTACAGAAGAAAGCTCTATTTTGGCACAACAATTCTGGAGATTTTAGTCTAGTCAGTTGGCCTATGGCTTCTGTGCCTGGGGCAAGGTAGTACGTCTTAGTGGGTGCACTTGTGGGGAGGAAGCCTTCACCTCATGGCCAGAAGTAACAAGGGCAAGAAGCTGGGGTGCACTATCCCTGCAAAGGCACAGCCTCCTACCCCCATCACCTAACTGCCTCCCAATAGGCTGCACCTCTCATTAGCATTACAGGCTGGTAAGTAAATCTTTAACACATAAGCTCCTCAGGGATACTACAGAGCCAAACTGGAACACTAAATATTAAAAAAAAAGATGTATAAAGATGAAATTCGAATCTATATCTATTTATTAAACTTTTCCTCTTTTTACTGTATAAAGCCTCTTGAGAAATTGGGTAAGTTATTGAAGTGACTTAAAAATCTTAGAATAATTATAAAATAAAGAATGTCACTTGACTGTTTTCTTGACATTTCAGTTCGGCAGAGGGTTCTGGAGAAACAGAATCATGAGTTGGAATTGCCAGGAACAGGAACATTCAAGCTCACTGTCCGATTTCCCATAGCCCCAGATGAAGGCTCTGTCTTTAAGGGGGAAATTCTAACAAAGGTAAGCCAGACGGAGCCAGGGTTCAGAGGGATCTGGATGATCTCCCAAGCTTCCAAACGTGGGAATCTCAAAATGTGGTGGAATGAGCAGAAAAGTGGCTAACAATATTGAGGGAGAGGGGAAAGCTGTGTTGAGGTAGTATGACAAGATGGAGGGAAGGTACCTTTTCCTTTGATTTTGGACATTTCGTGAAAGTCAAGATTTGGCCGGGCATTGGTGGCTCACACATGTAATCTAGCTACTCAGGAGGCTAAGACCTGAGAATTGTGGTTCAAAGCCAGCTTGGGTAGAAAAGTCCATGAGACTCTTATCTTTCACCACCAGAAAACAGACGTGAAACTGTGGCTCAAGGTGGTAAAGTGCTAGCCGTGAGCAAAAATTGCTCGGGGACAGTGTCCAGGCTCTGAGTTCAAGCCCCATGACCACCACCACCAACAACAAAGTCAAGATTTGTGGTCACAACGATATTGGGGTATAAAATCCTGGGTCTAAAAAATAAATAAATAAATAAAATAAAATCCTGGATCTGTGTATCTTGGTTCTTTATAGCCTAAAGCTTGTGATTTTGTTATGCTTTTACATTGTTTTTAGAGGACAGCTATCCAAACTACTTGTGCTGTTTAATTGTGAAATAGATGATCAAAAATTAGATGACTTCTATGAAGCTTGTTATAAGCATTGAGTTAAGTCAGGAAAAACTGAATTTACAGGCCAGTTTGTGAATTCTGTTGGGTTTTGTTTTCATCAATGATCTGTCCCTAACAAATGGATATGCTGTGACATGTAGCCCCAGATTGCATTAAAGAGCCCCATATGGGAGTGTTCCAATATAATTTCTGTTTTTCCTACAACTTCAAGCTGGTCTTACAGATGATTTCTTAATGTAAGATTACAATTACGACTAGTCTATTAATGGTACTTTATTGTTTGGGTTTTAGGAATCCAGGGTGAAAGAAGATGTCAAAGAACCAGGTAAAACCTCAGTTATTGTAGCTCAAGCATTCAGCAAGCAGTTTTTCTTGCATTAAAGAAGACAGATTGGGGGATCTTCCCCTTCTCCTAAACTTTTAAGAACCAGGGCCTGCTCAGCTTGGAGCTTCCTTGGACTATACTTTCTTAGTGCTTTGCATACTATGCAAAGGATGAACTCTGTGGGTTCCTCTGGGTTGAAGTGAGAAGGATGGGAAGAGTTCCCTGGGGGGCTGGAAGATGATTGCAGTTGAGGAGTGGGAAAGATATTTCCACAGTGAACTAAAAGCTAGAGCCCACTTGTACCCACTAGCCAATGAGAAACGAGGACAAGAATATGTTGGAGAAAGCTATGAGTCCATTGGCGCTGCTTTGTGAGTACTGGCTGTTCCAGGTATGTCCTATGGAACCTCAGCAGAAAGAACTGACTTCTCAGTGGATAGTGTCTTCCTAGCATTGGCACCGGAAGTTGACGCATTGGCACAGGAAGTCAGGAGCTCTTACCTCACCTGCTGGGAAACAGCCAACAGCCGAGTAGATCAAGTTGCTTTCTCCAAATTGCCCAGTGATTGTTACTCAGAATCCCCTTTACCCTTCTTTTTTTCTATCTAATTCTATGCACTTTTCAAGACCCTCACAGATTTCCTCCTGTTCTCTGAGCTCTTTCAGTAGCTGCTCAGCCGCTTTGTCTCTTCTTCTGAGTCATGATAGGCTTCTCTTGTGACCAAGCTTTTAATAGTCATGGGTTATAAAACTTGATTGCTTGAAAGAAGACTTACTGTTCAGTTCAATTAGTCAAGTGTTTTGGGGTTTTGATGTATATACAATTAAGACCCATGCCCAAGGTCAGACAGCTAAAGAGTGGCAACCAGGGATTGAATATAGGCAGCCTTATCCCAAGCCCAGTACCCATTCCATGTGGTCATACTTGTCTCACTCAGTACTGTTATGTTGTATCTCACTCCTTACACTATATTTAGTTAGTGTGTATGCACATCATCAGATGTTTTTGCATTCCACTAGGGCACCAAGCAGTATTTCTCCTATTCAGTGATCATTTACTGAGTCTCAGCTATCCACCAGCAACACGAGGATGAACAAGCCTGGGTCTTGCTTTTGAGATGCGTAGTTCAATCATTGTAATGGAGGGCTGTGATAGAAATAAATATCAAGTGCTACGGAGGACAAACTGTGCTTCTTGGAGAGTTAAGGCACAAAAAGTTTTGATTAAATTGAATTTAAGATATCAGTAATATTAGTAGAAAATAAAATACTACGTCTTATTTTTTTAATTCACTAAAGCAAAAATCTATCTAAGAGCTTGCTAAAAGTTGGCTGAAAGATTGGAAAAGTAAGGGTCACATCTTAAGTCACACTTTGCTAAGACCATGTAACATCTGTACATTTTTTGTCTCTCCTAAATCAGATGTATCAGAAGAGCTGGAAGCAAAACTTTCTCTAGAGAGTACATCAGAAAAACAGGAGGACATCCCAAGAGAATGCGAATACGTTTCTTCTTTGGTGGCATTTGAAAATCTTCAGGCAAACGTGACTGATATAATGTTGACCTTATTCGTTGAGAGTATAAGTGGCCTGCCCAGTGATGACTTTCAGATGGAAATAAACCGAGACTTCGATGTTGCTGTGGTTACCTTGCCAAAGCATATAGGTGAGCTCAAGGGCATTTCAATGGCCAGTATTCTTTCTGTCTTGAGATTTGGGACCTAACATCAGAGAAAAGTTAAAAGAAAATAGCTAGTAAAAAGGACTATATGTTAATAATACATATTATTAACAATTTTGGAAGAAAAGAAAGTTAGCAAATTAATTTCAACTAATTCTTTCAAACTAAATTCTGATGTTTAATAGGTTGACTTCTATTGTATGAGTTCATGTGTATGTGTGTGTGTGTGAGAAAGAGAGAGAGAGAGAGACTGAGAGAGACAGACATGCACAGAGAGAGACAGAGACCGATAGACAGGAAGAGACACAGAAATAGAAATCTAAAGTCTAAAGTTACTAACATGATTCCAGGTAAAGGAGTGAGCATTTTCATTCATTGAGAGGAGTAAGTATTGATTCTAAGGTGGACTTACACAACACAAAGCAATAATATTAACAATCACACATAGTCTTGCTATCAATTAGGTACTATTGCTAAGCATTTCATAGGTATTTATTTATCTCTCTTTCAACAACCTTGTGGCATTACCCTTATTACCTCTCAATTGGCACAGACAAAGGTACCTATATGCTGATAAATGGAAGCACTGGATTTGAACCCAGGCATCCAACTTCTAGAATTTGTTCTCTTCTCAGTCTTACCATCTTGTACCTTAGGACTTTTTCTGTATGTGATACAGAAGCTCTTTGAGGTCACTGTTATGAGGAAAAACAATCGTCACCTAAAACAAAGGAGCTTTCCAATTCAAGCCCTCACTGTCCCATGACCATGGTAATGGAATGATTAATTAAAAGCACAAGTGATGGAGTCATAATTCTAGTTCTGCTATTCATCTAGTTACTGTGTTTTCTGTGCCTCACTCTCCTCATCTATAAATTAGGGATCATAATAACAACCTAAAATTCACCATGATCAACTGAGGTGATTCTGGAAAGGCAATTAACATCAAACCTAAGACATCAACAAAAGAAGTTATTCTAGTTTCAAGTTTATTAGTATTATGAAAAAAGGAACATCTAAAAGAACTCGTTTTTTGTTCATTGGTGAAAATGTTCTAACCTCTCCTGTGTTCATCAGCCTCTTAATAATTTATCAAATACTTGAGACAATAAGCTTACACACAGTGATGTTTATTTGGTTACAGTTTTGGAGGTTGCATTCCATGTCATTTGACCCTATTGTGGTTTTGCCTCCCTGGAAAAGCAGCATGTAGGTAGCAGAACACGGCATACTCATTACCTCCTGGCTAAGAGAGAGAAAGAGGTCACCCTAAACCCTTCTCTCCACCCAAGTGACCAAAAGACCTCCCACTAGGCCCTACCTCTTAGTTCACTCCACCTCTCAGCCTTTAGTATATGGGTCTTAGGGGATCCTTCTAGAGCCAAAGTATAGCATTATAGTGTGCTAGGCACTGGTGTAGGTGCTATGGGCAAAAAGATGAATAAATCATAGTTCTTGCTGCGGAGGAACTCACAGTCTGGGACAGGGAAGAAGCTTCCATGTAAGTGAATAATGATACAAGAGGAGAAGGTGTGGTCTTGCCTGTGAGCAACAAGCTGTGGGAAGTGGGAAGAAAGATCCAAGTGAGGAATATTAGGGTTGCACTTGAGAAGTCTGTACTCCAGTCATACTGACTGCGTGTATCTAAAATGAACCAAGCCATTTCAGGCAGATGCTTTCCTGCTTGTCATGTCTCTGTATGTTATCCATCCAGCCTCTCTTCTTGTTTTAAATCCAGATGAAAGACCATGTCCTCTGCAAGTCTGATTCCAGTTAATCCCATAAGACACAATGCAGTTTCTCTCAAGCCTCTTTCCTCCGGAATGACAAGCTGCCAAAGCCTTGTTAGAGTCATCTTTATCTCCCCAGAGTCTAACGCAGTACTTACTATAGGTTTGACCCACCCTCAATCCTTAGTAATTTGAAAGACATAGTTGGGCTGAATTCTGAAGAATAAACAAAATTGCTGAGGCTGGGGCTAGGGTGGATGGTGGAGCATTTGCCTAACCTATATACAGCCCAGGGTTTAATCTCCAGAACAGTAAAAATCAATCAATAATAAGGAAAGGAATACACCAGAAGCAGGAAATGGTACATGCAAGGTGGATTTTTAAACTAACAGACTGGCTTTTTTTTTTCTGCTAAGACAGGAAATAAAGTGATGCTTGGAATCAAATAGCCAGAGCCACTGTAAGCTGGTTAAGGAGTTTGAGCTTGGAATCAAATAGCCAGAGCCACTGTAAGCTGGTTAAGGACTGTGAGCTTCTCCTGCAGACAGGCTGCTCTTGAAGGACATGAGAAACCAGTGAGATGAGATGCTATTGCAGGTTGGCAAGGGCTATGATTGGAGACCCATAAGACATTCATGAGAGTGTTGTTCAGAGATTGGAAATTTATTTTAGGCATGCAGATTCCTATGTAAGTATTAAAATCTTGTGTTCAAAACTGGAATGATAGCTTCTTCTTGCATACCCCTTTGTCTGGCTATCCTGGAGTCTGAACAAACTTGGGTTCTGTACCAGTTGAGCCACATCACCAACCCTTTTGGCTTTTTCATTTTGTAAGTCAGTTTAGGGCCTTGATTTTTCCCACTCTGCCTCCCACATAGCTGAGATTAGAGTCTGAGCCAGTTCAGTTCTTTTCATCTTAATAGGTGTTAGTATTATCCCCACCATTGGTTCTCAGCTCTACTTAGACCTGAGCCCCTCCTTGCCCCAGACTTTCTGCCATAAAGCTGGCCACTCCCTCTCTCCACCCAGACCTGCCTTGCATGCACCTAGCTCACTTCTACCCTCACTTTCTCCCCAAGTTCTACCTGCCACCTGGATAGGGGCAGATGCCATGTGCTACCTCTCCCAGGGAGATATGGCTTCTCTAATAAACCTTATAATAATCTTTCTCCTGTGCCTGCCTGCCTCTGCGTGGTCCCCTCAGATGGTCATGAAGGATTCTTACAATATACAGTCCATTTTTTCTGTATACTTTGGTGATATAATAATTTTCTGATTTTTTTTTCTCTTGCAGAGCCTATGAAATTTATTGATGATTGTGCCAGGCACCATTCAATTAAAAAACTTCAGATTTCTCCAAGACTTCTGGAAAAGACAAAAACAATCAGGGTTGAAAATCTGCCCCCTGGTGTTGATGACTTCCAGTTACAACTTTACTTTGAAAATCCATTCAATGGAGGAGGAAGAGTTGCCAGTGTTGAGTGTTTTCCAGATGAGAGTTCAGCTCTCGTTGAATTTTATGACACAAAAGGTAATAGCTCTTAGCTTATGATATTGGACATAAACTAAGCCAATTTTAGCATGTCTTAGCAATTACTTAAATTCTGATGCATTTTATTTGATATATGTTTTTTCAGAAATTAATGATCAGTTTACCTGAGATACAATGCTTCCTAAAGGCAGTGACTCAGACTAAAAAGAAGCATGTTTATAAAAGATAAAAGATTTTCTAATGAGTCACCATCTGTGAATAGATTAAAAAAATATAATAGGTCATTTTTATAACCTTTAAGTACAATCTTATTAAAATAATGAGTTTAAGCTATTGGTATACATTTTCAAATTGTTTTCAACAGGTTTTGGTAAAGACATTCTTAATAACATACAGATTCTACAATTGTAGTTATTGTTTGTTTTACCTATCAGTGTGATCATTCAGTGTGGTCACTTAAGTGTGGTTTCACATGACCTCAGGATGCAGAATATAAGATGTATAAAATTAACATTAGATAATAGAAGTCAGATCCAAATTCAATCTCACTTTGGGGCTTACTGCTTTATATTCTTCAGCAAGTTACTTTAACCCACCAAATCCACTGTTTTCTCCCTCATAACATGTCCATCACCTGTTGTGATGACTAAATGAAATAATCCTGCAGGGAACTCGACATAAGGTAGCAATTAGTCATGCTAGTGGTCACGGGCACAGCCTTTCGGGGAATTTTTTCCATCATGCCTGACATCAGCCCTGGTTCCCAGTCACTCACAAGGTGAAATCATTTTTAACATCTTTCCACCGTGGATACTATTTTAACATATGTTGTTTGGAGGCTAACTTTAATTTCCTTGATGATATTTCTTATAGCTGCTTAGCAACAGAAAATGAGCAAGGTCTAGGAGAATGAGAAACACACACACACACACACACAGGTCCTGGTATAATTGACAGGAGAGAGACTGTAGTAGGGGCTGGTTTTATTGAACCATAGTTTCTGGGCTGAGCTCTCACATGTCTCTGAGGAGGATGTTTTGGTAGAGAGAGAGAGAGACCATGGACTGTGGAGATGAAGGATGCTGAATATTAGCTCAGATAAAACCTTACTTAGCTTTTTTATATTTATATTTGCTCTATAAAACCTTATTCAACTTACCGAGCTGTTCCAAACCTCAGTTGTATCATTTATAGATAAGGATGGTCATAAAAGTACCTACAACAAGGTTGTTGTGGGGATTAAATGAAGTATATTTAGTTGCACTTAGAATAGTATCTGACACATGGTAAGCTATCAGTTATTTGCTTCTCCTAGGAAAGTTTTTAATTTAATCTAAGTAAACTGCTAACACTTAAATTCTAGAACTGTCCAAGAAGGAACAATACAATACTGGGATAAGTTTCAAACTGAGCAGAAAACTATCATTTGCACTAGGGAAAATATTATCTGTACACTTGTGACCAAACTCATATCTGTTTCTTCATGTGATGGGGATGCATCCATGATATAAGAAGAAACAGAAAATAGGACTTAATTAGGAATTTAGTATCATGCTCTTGGGTAGAAAGCTGTAGTTTTATTAAATAAGATCTACCTGTGGACTGTTAATAGATACCAATTTATCTTTGGACACTTTGAGCTAGTGGCTTTTTATAACACATGAAAGTTCTATAGCCATTAGGGATTTCACTCTAGAAAGGTTTTGTCTTGATTTATTATCACATTGAAGGTGATCATTTTATTTTTATTTTAAAGTGTTAGACAACATCATGTCCAAGGAACATAACTTCAATAAGATGCCAATATCAGTCTTTCCCTACTATATCTCTTTGGGCACCGCCTTGTATGGTAAGGAGAAGCCTCTGATCAAGCTGCCAGCACCATTCAAAGAGTCATTGGATCCACTCTTATGCAAGTTTTTTCAGAAAGAAGGGCATCTGATTGAGGAGATAAACAATGAAATGAGGCATTGTCACTGTGAGCTAACATGGTCCCAGCTCAACAGTACAGTTACCGTCAGACCTGCAGCCACGCTGGGCTGTCAAACAAGATCAAAAATCAAGACCTGGCAGAAAGATGCATCCACAGCACTCGCTGGCATCAGGTCTAAATATGAAGTTATCTCACTCCAAGTGAAGCCAGGAGTGTGGGACACCATCAAACAAGATATAGAAGCTGATAGGATTTTGATTGAGTTTGATACAACTGAGGAGATGATGATTTTAGCAGGAAAATCAGAAGATGTCCAAAACATTACCTTGAAAACCAAGGAATTAATAGAAAACACCATGCAAAAAATTAGAAAGGAACAGGAGAGTCTGGAGGAAAAAGTGGCCATTTCTCCAGGAAAGTATTTTCTTTTGTGCCATAGTGGTATCCTGAATCATCTAGGAACAGAGTGCCCAGAGATGGAACTCTCTTACAATGAATCTACTCACTACCTGTGTGTTAAAGGACCCCGTGCAGCTGTGTATAAATTAAAGAGTGAAGTCCTGGCAATGATGTTTTCCATGGTTCAGAAAACACTTCAGATTTCTTCTGAGGTCTCCAGTTTTTTGCAACAGGTAGACTGTAAAGAATTGTCTCAGTTTCTCTTTATAAAACAGAAAGTTCATGCAGTCTATGAACTAAAAGATACAACTGTTGACTTGACCAGCTGTTCTGCTAAAGATCAGGCACAAGCTGAAGAGCAAATGCTCAGCGGCTTAAATTATAAACGCATTGAAATTGAGGACAAGGAAATTCTTAACAGCAACAAATGGAAAAAGAAAGTTAATGATTTGCAAAAGAAACACAATTCCCACACAAAGGTGGTGGCAATCACTGAATTAACTTCAGGATCTCCAGCTGAGGTGATCATTGCAGGCTGTGTGAAAGAAGTCAATGAAATCTATGCCTTGCTTTTTGACTTCTTGGAAAAACATATGAGAATAGAGAGATTCATTGAGGTCAAGCCATCCTTGCTTCTAGACTACTTCAGGGCAAACAAGAAGGAATTCTGGCCCAAGAAGACAAGTGTGCAGGTAATTTTCAAGCCTGAAAACAGAAAGAATGGCATTTTACTGATTGGTACCAAGAGTGAAGTACTAGAAGGCACAGACATCATTGCGAAAGTTCAGAATTTAATCTGTGTTAAAACCTTTAACATTGATAAGCCAGGAGCCAGGCAATTCTTCCAGGATAAAGTGTTGTTTTACAGAAGTGAGGTCAGACGGTTGTACAGCTGTTTCATTGAACTCCAAGAGAACAAAGGAAAGGAGGAGGAGGGCAACAACTTTAAGAGGGAGCTGGCCCCTGGTGTCATGCTGATTGTGAAGCAGGGTGACTTGACTCAGTTTCCAGTGGATGTGGTGGTGAATGCTGCAAATGAGACCCTCAGGCATATTGGTGGGCTTGCTGCTGCTCTCTTAAAAGCAGCTGGCCCTGAGCTTCAAGCAGATTGTGATGAGATAGTGAAGAAAAAGGGCAAGATCCTACCTGGCAATGCCACCATCTCCAAAGCAGGAAGGCTCCCTTGCCACCGTGTGATCCATGCCGTAGGGCCTGTGTGGAAAGAAGATAATGCCCAGAGGTGTATACAACTATTAAAGTCAGCTGTGATTTGCAGTCTTCTTTTAGCTGAGGACAACAACTACCAATCCATAGCCATCCCAGCTGTTAGTTCTGGAATGTTTGGCTTTCCCTTACGACAGTGTGTGGAGACCATTGTTAAGGCGATCAAGGACAATTGCCAATATAATCACAAAGGTAGCTCCTTGAAAGAGATTTACCTTGTGGACCCATCTGAGAAGATTTTTGGAGCCTTTGTTGAAGCTATGAAAACTATATTCAAAGACCCAACTTCCCATCCCAAGTCAGAGTCCTTATCTGATATGGCCTCCCCCGTCCATTTAACAGCAGTAGACCAACCTGTAAAGGTAACACAGGATCAGCTATGTCTGGTATCACCAAGCGGCCTGAAAATGCTGTTGGTGAGTGAAGATGTACAGAATGCTAAGGTGAGTGTCTCTGTTTAGAATCATCACCAAGGTGCCATGATGCTTCTTAGTCTGTGGCTCTCTCATAGTGGGCCAAAGGAAGACATGGAAGGGGAAATTAAGAGATGTTAGATGCTGTACATCCCTGCCTTGAAATGGCTTTCCTCAGATAAATTATCAGTCGCACTTATTAGCAGAAATTGATCCATCATTTGTGAGAATTGAAAGGCTCTTGAGATCAGATCTCTAGGTTCCAATAAGTGTCAAAGTTGATCTTGATATCATATATTATCATGGTATCATAAAATATCATATGATATTGCATTTACCCTTGCCATTTTTTGGAAACTTTGAGAAGATACAGAACAGAGTATGGGAAATGCAGAAGAAAGCATCTTGTCAATGGAGCTGAGCAGAAGTGAGCTTGAAGAGCCATTAGGACCAATACCAGTTTGTTGTTTGTATGTGGAGTGGAAGAGGAATAAGGAAGTGGATCTGAGGAAGGTCTAGGGATCAGGTATCAATTACAAACAATTCATGTAGAGTCGGGACAGGTAGGGAGAGGGATGCTGGTAGTTAATATGATTTTTTAAAGGCATTTAACAGCTTTTCCAACATGGGTTCTAACCAATCAGAACAACAACTCTATGCAACAAATATGGCCCACTCCAGCTCTGCCAGGCTGCCCTTCTTCCATTGGAGGATGCCGGTGACAGGGAGTGGTGGAAGAAGGATTCCTGGTGGGAAGTTGAAAGAAGTAGGGCAAGTGTGAGGGACTAGGTGGAGTAACACCCAGGCTAGCTTCCAAGCCAAACTAATCACTGTCTCACAAAGCCCCACAATCGGGTGTATGGACTTACCTGGTAGATAAAATGGACAGCCTGTAGTCAGAGCTGTTTCCTTTGCCTTGTTAAGGGACCTTCAGTTTCCCCTTCCTCTCCAGAGGAGCTGGAAATGAACTTAGAACTCCTCACTGCTTCTTATTCTGTTACATCTGTATCTCTGTGGTTTTCTGCCTTCCTGCCACCCGTTTGTAATTCCTCTCTTTCTTCAGAATCTAGTAACTCCTGGGTTATTAGATTCTCATTCACAGAGTCAAAAAGGTGAATGCTTTAATCTACCATCTTGTCTTGCCCTCTACTTTTCTATTTTTCAGTGGACCCATCCCCAAAATGTGGTATACATAAATTCATACAATTTGTGACCTTTTATGAGTGATTTGTTCCACTAAAAATATTTCTCAGGTTCATACCTATTCTAACATTTCTCAGTACTTTATTGATTTTTTTGTGACTGAATAACATTCCATTGTATGTCTATGTATTTTTTAGACTTTCAGCAGCCAGTGAAAACTTGTGTTCTTTCTACCTTGTCTTTTCTTCTTCAAGACTCAGGATTGAACTCAGGGTCTCATGCTTCCAGGCAAATACTTTTCTACCTGAGCCACAGCTGTACCTACTCTTTGGTTTTTATGAGTCCTGTTTCTATGATCATTTGTTTACAATATGTCCATGAATGATTGTTTTGGTTCGCTTGAGTATCCATTCTCAGAGTGGCATGGCTTGGTCCCTTCGAGACTCCATATTTAATTTGAGGAAATGTAGCTACTATTGCAGTTTGTATTCTTGTCAGCAATGTTTCTCCACATCTCTGCCAAACATTACCATCATTTGTCTATGTTCATATAGGAGTTTAGAGAACTAGAAGTGGCTTTTACTGGCATTTCCCCACTAACTAATACTGTTGAACTTTTTTTTTTTTTTCTGGTCGTGGGGCTTGAACTCTGGGCCTGGGCGCTCTTCAGCGCCCTCAGCTTTTCAGCTCAAGGCTAGCACTCTACCACTTGAGCCACAGTGACACTTCCGGTTATCTGGTGGTTTATTGGAGATGAGAGTTTCACAGATTTTCCTGCCCAGGCTGACTTTGAACCATGATCCTCAGATCTCAGCCTCTTGAGTAGCTGGGATTACAGGCATGAGTCACTGGCATCCAGCACTATTGAACATCTTTTCTTGTGTTTTTTGGCCATTTGTGCATCTCTTCAGAGAAATATCTGGATTTTCCCCCCGCTTTTATATAGTGGTGTTGTTTCATTATTGAAGTTTAAGTGTTTTTTATGTGTTTTGAGTACATGTCTATTATGGGTACAGGTTTATGATTTTCCAATATTTTCTTCTATTATATGGGCCAAGTTTTATTTTTTAGTTCAAGTTACTTCTCTTAAAGAACCTTTTGTTGTAGTGTAAAATGACAAAGAAAATTAATTAGATTTTGTTGACAGGAAGCTTAAGTAGTAGTTAGAATAAACGTAGTTAATATTGATACTTTGTGACAGGTTTTATATAGGGTGATTGACATGTGCTTTCTCATTCAATGCCTTGAGGTGAATTCTAAAATACTGTTCTTCTCACTTCTCATATGAAGGATGATATTTAGAGGGCTGAAATAACTTATCCAAGCTAGCAATCCAGTAGAGCAAGGACTCAAATTTATAAAAGGTTCTTAATTATTGTACTATTTTCAGAATATTAAAAATAATTTGTCTCTTTTTTCTTTAAAGTTAAATAAACACACAGAATGCCCTCTTCAATCAAGAATGAGGAATGGCAATGAGTTCTATTCTTGGTCTCTCTTGTCACTGAATGTAAAGATGTGCTTTCTACTCCTTTCCTTCCCAGAGCTGTATAGTTTCCACTGCTTCAGTAGCTACAGTGCAATACTCTGCAAGTCCCACAGATGACAGAGCGCCTCCTCCTCTCTTCTCTTGGCCTCACGAACATAGCCTAATGATGGCTCATGTGCACTCTGAGAAAAAAAAGCTTTCATGTCTGTTCACTGTGTGTGGATTAGCACTCAAGGTGGTTCTTCCACAATCTGCCCCTAAGAGTATCACTTCTACCCTGGCTGGCAGAACCTCTCTGTCAGGTTTGAACAATGCATCACACACAATCCACCGTGAGTCAATACCGGCCTTTCTCTGTCACTCTTTGCTTGTTGTGAACATTTCCATCTCAGGTCTCCCGTAGCCCATGGCATCTTTGCCAGCCACTGAGAGGGTCTTATTCAGGACTCTTCTAGTCATCTTGGCCCATTTATATGTCCTTTAGGGTGGGAGGAGGTGCTTGAATTCAGGGGCTCCCGCTTGTTTACTTTATTGCTCAGCTGTTGTACTACCACGTAGCCATGCCTTTACCCTAAATTTTGCTAGTTAATTGAGCACGAAGTCTTGATGCCTTTTTCTGTCCAGGCTGGCTTCAAACCCTGATGCTCTGGATCTTAGCTAGGAGTATAGGTATGAGCCATAGATACCCCATTTATATGTTCTTTCCTGTCAGCTATCTTTTGTCCTGGAGAAAAATTTACTAACACTTGAATTTCTATTTCAGTATAGAACAGTTAATGCTGACTTGAATCCCATTATGCTGAACTCAGCAGCTCAAAGGTAGCCTTGGGTGTTGAACACCTTCTGTGAGAATTTGAAACAAATATTTGGTTTGTCTTTTAGACCCACATCATTGTCAACTCTGTTGCCTCAGATCTTGCACTCAATAGAGGGCCCCTCTCTCAGGCCCTCTTGAAAAAGGGTGGGCTGAAGCTTCAGGAGGAGTTGAAGGCTGCTGGACAAGGGATCACTGCCAATGTGGGCACCATATTCCAAACCAGTGGTGGTAATCTGGACTGCCACTACGTGCTTCATGTGGTAGCTCCAGAATGGGGAGGTAACAGCACATCTTCACTACAGGTAAGACCTCAGTTTAAATTCAGCAGGAAGGGCTAGGAAGGTGGCTCAGTGGTAGAGCGCTTGCCTTGCATGCCTGATGCCCTGGGTTCAATTCCTCAGCACCACATAAGCAAAAAGAAAAAAGCTGGAAGTGGCACTGTGGCTCAAGTTGTAGAGTGCTAGCCTTGAGCTGAAGAGCTGAAGGACAAGGCCCAGAGTTCAGGCCCCACGACCGGACCCCCAAAAAAAATTAAAAAAATAAATTCAGCAGGAAAATGGCTAGGCTTCTTTCAGTATACTGATGTCATCTGTGGAGAATTTCTAGGCAAGAGGTATAAAGATGTGCTTTGTGCTTTTCAGATCATGAGAGACATAATCAGAGACTGTTTGGAGGTCACTGAGAAGCTGTCTTTACAATCCATTGGATTTCCAGCAATAGGAACAGGAAATTTGGGATTCCCTAAAACTGAATTTGCTGACTTAATTATTTCAGAAGTATTAAAATTTAGCAGCAATAATCAACTGAAAACTTTGCAAGAGGTTCAATTTCTGCTGCATCCAACAGATCATGAAAATATTCAGGTATATTCTTGCTCATTTCTGGTGAATTTGGCTACCTGTATTTGGAACCTAAAATTCTCAAATGCCTTCTTGCCTAACAGGATTTCTTTTGGTATGTATTTCACATACAGGAAAATAAGAGAATAGTGTTAACTCATAGCATGACAAGTTGCAAGAAAAACTAAAGGTACTGAAAAATAATTAGCTCTTCATTCAGGAATGTGTTAGGCACATAGAAAAATAGATTACATAATCTAATTAGCCAGATTGTGTCTATTCTTCTGCTTCAACTGTAGTCAACCTATGGCCAATATGTTGGATCTCTGACTCTGCTTATATTCCTTTCTCTCACATGATTTTGAAGCAAATCTCAGATTTACAATTTTATCCCAAAACAATTCAGCAATTTATTTTTTAAAAAGATCCTTTTTTTTTACAAGTAATATAAGTATGTTACAATATCATATTGTTTGTGTTCCTTTTATTTAATCAATCATAAAGTCAATGTTCAAATTTCCAAGTATCTCATAAATAGTTTGTCTTTAATGGTTTTATGTCTGAATCAGAATTCAATAAGGCCCACATATTGTAATGGAGGTGATGGAGGTGGAATGTTAGGACATAAAGCAGAATTATAACTTTATCAATAGGAAAATGTCAAGATAGGATAAAGTGATTCCTGTGCCTATTGCTGAAAATGTAATTAATTAGAAGTAAAAGGTGTTAGTTAGAATGCATCAGGTATCCCCACATGAGTAAAACAGCTGGAACAAGAACCATCTTCAGTCTTAGTCTGTCAGTCAACTGCATATTATCTCTGAGTCAGCTACTAGATTTGACATTATGAGAGAACCAGGGGCATTTAAGTCCTTATTCCTGTGTCTAATAAACCAAGGAAGTGGATTATACTTAATATTTGATTAAGCCATTATCTTAAGTGATATCCATAGATTATTGGACCATCTGGATTTGGGGATCATAGTTTCATTTTTTCTGATCAGGCTTCATTTGGATATTGTAATATCATTCAGACCATATAAAATTATTGATACAAACAGCCAAGAAGTCAATGATAGCCATAGAAATCCACCAAGAAGCATAATGCCTGACCAGACATGGACCAAATTATTTCTCATGTCCTGTACAGCCTGCCAATCATCTTATCCTCACCCTTGGTCTGTGTATCACTTATACATTCCAATCAGACAGCCACAGAACCTGAATAAAGTATGAGGTCTATTTACTTGACCAGTTTTACTTCTACTCAGTATAAGAGGTTTTATAATCTCCCTCTGATTTCCATTTGTTGAAATGATGTACAGTAGATCATGAAATACAGTATACAACACATACTCTCCTGTCTATATTTTATAATTACTTTGGGAATTTAGATTTATGTACACAAAGAAAACAACAGGAGGAATGAGGTATTGAGCAGATTTTTATATTACGTTTGTATTATCTGTAAGTAGTTATACAAAGGAGTTGCCATCCAACGAATCAGCTTATGAGTACAATGCATCTTGATCAATGTCAACCCTTTCATCATTTTCCCCATCTCTCCCAACCCAACCTCTCCCTTCATTTTTCTTCGTTCCATAGGATATGAATTGAATATTATGATGGCATTCTCCCCCCTACATCCTTTCTTTATTCATCCCCTATTTAATCTCCCCTTCCCACCTTTCAAGTATATTTGGCTCTGTGGCCAGGGTGTGAGTGCTATAACACAGGCCTGAGCCTTCAAATCTTACTCTTTTCCTGAAAACCATAGCCTTTATCTTCTTTTTAAATATCCAAAGTAATCAACAATTACTTTGTAAAAAGGATCATTCTCAATAGACAGCTTTAATATCATTTGAAATGTTTTCAGTTATCCATGTAATAACAATTATATGTTTGTTCATAGTTGTAGTATGTTGGGACTCTTGCCTCAAAGAGCTGTTTTTTGTTTTGTTTTTATGGCTGAGCAGCAGGGACTTAGTTTTTCTGACTGAAGTCAATCCACTTTTACCTGTGTACTTTGCCTATAAGACCCCCGCAGGCCTGAAAGTCTAAGACTCACTCAGCAGTCTCTGTTTTTCCCCCCCCAGCACTGAGTCAGTCTGTATTCATGTATTGTTTACTAAAGAAAAAAAGTTCTGTGTTGCTTGTTTCTAAGATAGAAGAAGGAGTGATTTTTATAATGTAATCACCAGTCACTGCCCCTCAAAAAGTGAAAGAAAAAATTCACAGATTTCAATAATGTTAGGATACATTTATTTATCTCTTGCTCCCAAAATTACTAGTTCCCTGGTCATTACTCTCTTGTTACAATTAAGAAGATAAAAACTTAAATTTTGAAACCTTGATGATTGTCTTTCTCTTAACTGCATGTTTTTATTTTTATTTTTTAATTTTTTTTTTTTTGTCGTTGGGGCTGAACTCTGGGCCTGGGCACCGTCCCTCAGCATTTCAGCTCAAGGCTAGTGCTCTACTACTTGAGTCACAGCACCACTTCTGGATTTTTTCTGCTTATGTGGTGCTGAGGAATCGAACCCAAGCCCTCATGCATGCGAGGCAAGCACTCTACCACTGAGCCAACTTCCCAGTCCTTGTTTCTTTTTTTAAACTTTTATTTTTTATTGTTATTCTGACAGTGATGTTCAGAAGGGTTACAGTTACATAAGTCAAGTAATGAGTACATTTCTTTTTGGACAATGTAACTCCTCTTTTGCTCTCTCCCAGTTTTTCCCTCCCATCTCCACCCACAAGTTGTATCGCTTGTTTTCAACATAGTGTCTAGCTTTATTTCTTTTACTGTTTGTTTACTTTTACTTATCAGGAAAGTAATCCATTTTCATTAAAGAAACTTTAAATATTATAAAAGATGCACATTCTTTGGTTGTCTGCCATCCCAGTCTTCTTTGCTTCAAGTGTAAATTTATTCATTTACTTTATTAATTTGTGTTAGTAGTGGGGCTTGAACTCAGAGCCTTGCACTTGGCTTTTTCACTCAAGGCTAGAACTCCACTGCTTGAGCCACAACTCCATTTGCAAATATAATATTAAAGTGAGATTATAAATATGTAATTATATATCCTCTTTGTTTATTTAATAGTATAAAATAAGCATTTCTCTATTCGATTAAATATCCTCAAAAATATAATTTTAATAGCTGTGAAATATTTTAGGAAATATATTAAAACTTAATTATTTTCCTACTGTTTTTTTTTGTTGTTGTTTTTGTCAGTTGTGGGGCCTGGGTGCTGTCCCTGAGCTCTTCAGCACTCTACCACTTGAGCCACAGCACCACTTCTGGTTTTCTGGTGGTTAATTGGAGATAAGAGTCTCATGGACTTACTTGCCTGGGCTGGGTTTGAATTGCAATCCTCAGATCTCAGCTTCCTGAGTAGCTAGGATTACAAGCATGAGCTACCAGCGCCTGGCTTCCCTATTGGCTTTTTAAGTAGTTTTTTCTCTATTATGAATAGCACTCTAATGAATATCCTATATTTATATCTTTGATCACATCTTTGATAATTTTCAGAAGAAATTTGTAGAAAGAGGATTCTATATATTGTTTTTATAACTTTAAAAATCTAGTTGGATGATAGTGGCTCATGCCTGTAATCCTAGCTATTAGGGAGGCTAAGATTTTAGGATCAAGGTTTAAAGCCAGTCTGAGCAGACAAATCCAAGAGATTCTTATCTCCAAATAACCAGGAAAAAAGCCAGATGTGGTGTTGTAGCTCAAGTAGTAGAATAAAAAAGCCAAGTGAGAGCTTGAGGCTCTGTGTTCAAGTCCCAGTACTAGCTCTCTCTCTCTCTCTTTTTCTCTTTCTCTCTCTCTCTCTCTCTCACACACACACACACACACACACACACACACACAAATCTAAGAGCTGCAGTGATGGCTTAGATGCAGGTGTACCTGTTCAGCAAGCAAACACAAAGTCCTGAGTTTCAACTAAGTACCACCAAAAAGATAAACTATTAAACTGAATTTTTTTCTTTTTTTGTTGGTCATAGGGCTTGAATTCTGAGCTTGGCGCTGTTTCTGTGCTCTTTAGTTCAAGGCGAGCGCTCACAGAGCCACTTCTGGTTTTCTAGTGGTTTATTGGAGATAAGAGTCTCACGGACTTTCCTGCCCTGGCTAGCTTTGAACCGTGATCCTCAGATCCCAGCCTCCTGAGTAGCTAGGATTACAGGCATGAGCCACCGGCACCCAGCCAAAAGTGAATATTTTGATAATTATTTACATCTAAATATGCAGGATCAAAAGCCCTGATGAATTGAATTCCTTGATTACCTGAGGAGTGTAATGGTGAAAATTGTATTTTTATTCCAGGCATTTTCTGATGAATTTTCCAAAAGGAAGAATGGAATTCCCAGTGACAAAGCTTCCAAGGCTGCAGATACACAAGGTTCAGTAAAGCTTTTAAACTGACTAGTGATTTCTAGTTGCTAAGTAACTATTTCATGGCAAGTAAAGGATGATTGTGATGCTTGTTTCTGGAAGATTGAGTGATAAATAACATACTTGAGTATGTTCCATAAACCCAAACAGATAAGATTCTGGCCATGTTTATAAGATCTAAGGCAAAAGCACCCAGCTTATACAATGGATTTTTAAATAATGATAAGAATAGTTTCACAGCATAATCTTACAGATTTTCAAAATACATACTTTGAGTCCAATGCTAACTTAATGATTTTTTTTCCTGTCAAAACTGCTGTTATTTTTTAATCCTTTTTGGGGATCACAGAGGCTTTCTTTCCTAAAACATCCTCATTGGTTACCTTTTCAGAGCCCCCAGGTATGGTGGCATTTTATGTGTGGCCCAAGGTTTTCATTGTGCATGTGAGACACATAGGATCTATAAGGCTGACTGTATGTGGCCCCTGTAGATGTCATGCTTGATATGTGCCATATTCCTAGTCTTTTTCTGGAAGCACACCATTATAGGGGCTCAAAGACAGTGAAAGGATTGAAGCTGGTGGTCACACCCAGAGAGGAAGGTTCTGTGCACTGGGGCGGGGGTGGGGGGGGACAGGAAGCAGTCTCATTCATTCTTGCTCTTGTTATCTTAGTGACTGACTCCACTATTCTCTCTTAGCAGGTTTCTATGGGGCTGTTTCCAGCCCTAATTTAGGAGTGTATGAAATGAAAATTGGCCCCATCCTCTTCCAGGTGGCCTCTGGTGACATCACCAAAGAAGTGGCAGATGTGATCGTAAATTCAACCTCAAATACGTTTAACCTCAGAACAGGTACTTCCCTTGGGTGACTTCGAACTAGTGTCAAAACCACCATGGCCAATCCTATAAAGAAGATCTTCTGCAAGCCAAACTGGTTTTGATAACTTTGGCTATTTTTATATTAACACATTTTAATAAGTAGTTATTGATAATTTAATAGTTTAGTGAATACTATTAATAACATGATTAATAGTCATCTTACTTAATAACTTTAGAATATTTTGATAGCTTCCTATAGATGGAAAGCTATTTTCTGAATTTTTTCCTCTGTTAATCAGCAATACTCAGCTATAGAACTCCTTTAATATAATAAGGCCGTCTTTCTAATCTAAACATACTGCAGATTTCTTGTGTTTGTAGCCATCTTGACTTTCTCATGTAGGGGTCTCCAAAGCCATTTTAGAAGGTGCAGGACCAGATGTGCAAATGGAATGCTCTCGCCTAGGTAAGGCAAAATACTAATATTTGGGCCTAAATTGTAAGTGAAGACTAATAATGTCAGTCTTGGAAGAAAACAAGCAGAGTCTTGGGGTTAAGAAAACAATGTATTGTATTATGGGCTGGGAAGGTGGCTCAGTGGTAGAGCGCTTGCCTTGCATGCATGAAGTCCTGGGTTTGATTCCTCAGCACCACATAAGCAAAAAGAAAAAAGCCGGAAGTGACACTGTGGCTCAAGTGGTAGAGTGCTAGCCTTGAGCTGAAGGCTGAGGGACAGCGCCCAGGCCCAGAGTTCAGGCCCCATGACCCGGCCCTCTGCCCCCCCCACAAAAAGAAAACAATGTATTGGTCTTATTATCATACATTTTACTTAAGAATTTCAGTTATAGGGAATTAGAATTTGAAAGTAATCTCACTGTTAAAGAAGAAAATTGAAGTCATACAATTTCATCAGAGATAGCATTTTAGTTTTGTATGAAACATGCTTCATGCCATATCAGACATTTCTCATTCTCAAAGAGAAGTTTCTAAATCTGATTTTTGTATCTTTTTGTTTGTGTTTTCCAGCTCAACAGAAGAATAATGAATATATAGTTACAGAAGGTGGATTATTGAACTGCAAGAAAATTATTCATGTTGTTGGTGGATATAATGTCATAAAATCTGTTACCTGTGTGTTGAAAGAATGTGAAAAATTCAATTACTCTTCCATTTGCCTCCCAGCCATTGGGACAGGTTTGTAGCCCCTGGCTGTTACAACTAAATTCCAGTCACAAAGTGTTCACTTTCCCATAGGTTTTGCTGAGTGTTAATGTGACGATGACAACAATATCAAAATAGGAGTAGACAGTTTCCTTATCCCAGGGTACCTCTGATGAAAGAGATGAGAATGTCTTTAGGTGGTTTAAGTAAAAAAGAAAAAGCATTGAATGGGAGCAGTGGCACAAGTCCAATTCAGTTACTAGGAAGGCTGAGGCAGCCCTGAGGAGGAGCAGCTTGAGCCCAGGCTTTCAAGGATAGCCTGGCCAACAGACTGAAAACCTGTTTCAAAAAAAAAAAAAAGAGAGGGCTGGGAAGGTGGCTCAGTGGTAGAGTGCTTGCCTCACATGCATGAGGCCCTGGGTTCGATTCCTCAGCACCACATAAGCAGAAAAAGCTGAAAGTGGTGCTGTGGCTCAAGTGGTAGAGCACTAGCCTTAAGCTGAAGAGCTGAGGGACAGTGTCCAGTCCCAGAGTTCACAGAGTTCAGGCCCCATGACCCATCAAAAAAAAAAAAAAGTAGGAGGAGGAGGAGGAGACTGAAGAGAGTATTGGGATATTAGATTAAGAGAGAGAGAAAGAAAGGAGTAGATAGGTCATCCCTTGGGCTCTTTCATATTTAATTCTCCTAGGTCACTTTCCTACATAACTTCCACTTCATCCTTCACTTGCTCCTCTCTTCTCTCCCCATGCAGAATATCAGTGCATCCATTTCCACCTGGCTATAATTGGCTACAAGATGAGCATTTCTAGTTCTCAACTCAATAGCTAGCTCTGCTTCTTAGCTTCAGACCTCTCTGTGTCTCTCAAGTCTCCAGAACTGAGTGGATCAAAAACTCAGCTTTCCAGTCCACTTGCTAATTTTGAGATTCTTATTTTTCTGAAACTCTGTCTTGATTATATGACTCTTCACATGGACTACTTTGGGTTTGTCATGGGTTAAAGAATGCCCTTCCAGCACTGCCCCGGGAATAAAGAGTCCTCTTCACTGACGGGGAAATTTCTGTGTGGTCTTTCTGCATTCTCCAGATCAATGGGTGAGATCGGATTGGCCAAGTAAGAGACTGTCTAGTAGCCCTACGCTCTAAGTCTCTTGCTCAGACTGACATTTCATCTCTCTAAAATGTTAGTTTCAATAAACTCAACCCCCTCCCCCTCACCTCCCCCCTCCCCCCCATCACTCTCTGGGCCTTCTTCCAATTCTCTGAGCCATACTTTGCTTTCTGTAATTCTGTATGATCCTATATTATGTCTTACTTAATACTTTACATGGAATTCTATTTCTACTTTAATACTTATCCCCGAAGTATAGTTTATAAACCTTCCTATTCTTATTGCCCCTGTATTATCTATTTTTAGTAGATTAGCCCAATTTTATCTATTTATCTATCTCCCTATCTATCTACTTACCTATTTTTGTGGACACTCGCTCCCTCCATCAACAGCCCTCCTGTCTGTCTCCATCTTACTTTTCCTAGTATTCTATTTCTACTTAAATTACTTCAGACCAACAAAGTAGCAACCTTCAGTCGTTTTTCTAGGGTAGTCCCTGCGGGATCAAAAGAAGAAACAGGGAAAGGACAGCTTTCATTTTGTATAAATATGTACACCTATTTGAGCAGATATACATTGCCAACCCATTTACTAGTCCACTGACTGAGATGCACTGCTGGTTTGCATAAATAAACAGAGTTAAGAGATTTTCCTTGCTTGACCTCTTTATCTGTCTTTATCATCAACTGAACTGGTCTTTCCATGACCCCTTAGTACTGGTTATAAGTAGATTTGTGACTACTGTGATCAAGGCAGCCTCTATCAGTAAATAAAAATTCTTCCTTCGAGATAATCATATGAGGAGGAAATATCTGCATAACAATACCTGCAAGAACCACAGACTCCAAACTCACCTACATCTGTCCATCCTCATAACACCACTAACCATCACTTTCTACCTGGAATCCCTGACTCTACCTCTTTATCATTTTTATCTGTTCATTATCTAATTATTAAGTGGGATTATATATGTATAAGTTTATGTGCATAGGCATAGGAAATGGAAAAGTGACCCCCAAAGGATCAAATATACCAGGTGCTGTGGTGCTGTGGGAGATCAGGCATGTAAATGAGCAACTGCAATGTAGCACAGCCTACAACATAGTACAAGTAAGCCAGCGGCAAGCATGTGGAGTAAAAGTTCATGGATAAACCTAGTTAGTCCCTCATATCAGTCAGTCTCTTCAGCTGACTGCTCATTCTGGCCTCTTGTCTTTGGTTAGCACTTGTCATTTGCCTCAATTTGTATTATCATTTCCTGACTAGAACTGGATTTTCCACATCCACTAACTTCATAACCTTTCTAGAATTCTCTTTTAAAAAGCTTGCCCACACCTGTAATTTTAACTACTCAGAAGGCTCAAGCCAGCCTAGGCAGATAAATCTGAGAGACTCTTATCTCTAGCTAACAAAAATCCAGAAGTACAGATGTGGCTCAAGTAGTAGAGCATCAGCCTTGAGTGGAAAAAGTAAGAACATGAGGCCCTGAGTATAAGCCCAAGTTCTGGCACAAAACAAAATAAAAACCTGTCTATGGCAGACTGAATATTTATCTGCAACACAAGTCAGTCTGGCATAGTCTTTTCCTTGAGTTTCTAGGTTTCACCTACTGATACCTGTGCATCCCACAAATTTCATCATCTGTGTCTTAACAATTGTGTCTTAACTAGTTCATAGTGAGACATAGTATGTGTTTATTGGGAATGAGTATCTGAATGCTTTCATTTAAACTCTTTCTAATAATGTGGAGAAACATAGCCTTGAAAGGAATATCCTTTCTCTAGTCATCTAATACTAAAAAATAACTTAATAATAAACCCTTTTGGTTAATGTTTTTGAGTGATTATATATATTCCCACAGTTTTCTACCTAGCCAAGTTAAAGAAATGTGTACTCATCTTTCTGCAATGGAGGTGAATACCATCAAAATGGATAATCCAAGTGGATTTTGAGTCTTATCTACAACCTAGCTTGGCCAGAGGACTTTTACATTGCTTATCATGAGACTTTTTGAGCTGCCATTCATGTGAGACTACTTCTGACACTGGAAAAAGACTCTTCATTATCTTACATGGCTTTCACTGAGATGTACAATATGGAATTGTCCAAAAAGGGAATGGATCTGCTTAGTGACTTCCTTGAGCTAAACTCTCATTGAGTGTGAGAGAAAAAGCCTTTTTGGAGCCCCCATGAACAGCTTAAGTACAAACAATTATAGATTATAACAAATAGATAACAGTTTTAGGTGATCTTACCAATTTACCTTAATTACCAAATTACCTTAATTCAAATCAGGTCCCAACAGATATTTGGAGAATAACAATACATGCATAAATTCGAGTGATGACAGAATCAAAAAATTCTGCTTTTCTCCTCTAGGAGATGGTGTTTATATATATATTTTTCTTCTTCTTCTTCTTCTTCTTCTTTTTTTTGCTGGTCATGGGGCCTGAACTCTGGGCCTGGGCGCTGTCCCTCAGCTCTTCAGCTCAAGGCTAGTGCTCTACCACTGGAGCCACAGTGCCACTTCCAGCTTTTTCTGTTTATGTGGTGCTGAGGAATCGAACCCAGGGCCTCATGCTTGCAAGGCATGCACTCTACCGCTGAGCCACCTTCCCAACCTCCTCCTCCTCCTCTTCTTCTTCGTCTTCTTCGTCGTCTTCTTTATCTTCTTCGTCTTCGTCTTCTTCTTCTTCTTCTTTTTATGGCTCTTTTCAGACTTGTGAGGCAAGAAGAGAGGCTACCTGCTCTCTATAACAGGAAGGAAGGAATGCAGTAAGCTGGGATCAGCTAAACAAGGCAACATGAATAGCACAAATAAGAAGTTAGATTTTAGGTCCTAGGTTGGAGTGCTGGTTTAAGACATCCTGAAACTAGGGCTGGGAAGGTGGCTCAGTGGTAGAGCGCTTGCCTTGCATGCACAAGGCCCTGGGTTCGATTCCTCAGCACCACATAAGCAAAAAGAAAAAAGCCAGAAATGGTGCTATGGCTTAAGTGCTCTACCACTTGAGCTGAAGAGCTGAGGGACAGCGCACAGGCCCAGAGTTCAGGCCCCATGACCAGACCAAAAAAAAAAAAAAGACATCCTGAAACTAAAATTACCACTGCATCTAGGACTTCAAAAGTGCTTGGTGATGGATGCACTGTTAGACAGTTTACCACTGATGAAACAGAGCTGTGAAGCAGGCATTTATTCAGTGAGAATAATTTCTTCCTAAGTCTTTATCAGTTGGACCTTTTCTTTCTCATGTCATTTTTATTATTTGCTTTTCCAGGAAGTGCTAACCAAGAACCAGATAAAGTTGCTGAAGCCATAATTGATGCCATTGAAAAATCTGTCCAGAAAGGATTGATTCGATCTGTGAAAAAAGTTAAAGTTGTTATCTTTCTGCCCCAATTAGTGGATGTGTTTTATGCCAACATGAAAAAAAGAGAAGGGTCTCAGGCTTCTCAGCCATCTGTGATGTCTAAAATTGCCTGTGAGTTATTTGAATTTATGAAATGCATATTCCTATATTGCCTGTTGCATAGTAAATAGCTAATCTGTTTTTCTCTTAGCTTTTTTAGGTATTCCAAAGCAGTCTTCCAAAAATCAGAAACCATTGATTTTGGAAAGAAAAACAGAAGTGACAACTTTCCGAGTATGTGGTAAAGATGCAAGCTCTGTGGACAACACTATCTCCTGGATGAAAAAGCTGATTGAAGAAGAGCAATGTCTCTACACCAGTGAAGATGAGTGTATCAAAGACTTTGGTGTAAAGGAAGTTCAGAAACTGAATGAGCTGCAGAGAAATTTAAATATCAACATTTCTCTGGACCAGACGAGACCTCTGATCAAGATTTTGGGACTTAGCAGAGATGTGATGAAGGCTAGAGATGAAATTGAGGAAATGATCAAGAGCTTTAGATTGGCCAAAGAAAAGGAAAGCCATGCAGAGTCTATCAGTGAATTTATACAATGGCAATATGAGGACAATAGCACTTTTCATAATTTTGATAAGATAACAAATCTGCAATTGGAGCATGCAAAGAAAGCAAAGGACAAGAGTACTGTTGTCAAAATTAATAATCAGGACTACACACTGAACTTGAACACATGCATTGCCACTGGTCCAAATGGACAGAGCTTAATGGTTCAGCGCCTCACAAAACCCGAAGGTGAGTCCAAGTTTCATCCTTTGCATGCACTATTTTATACATGTGTTGGGATTATTTTATACATACATTTTCTTTTATACTTACATCCATTTTTATACATTCCATTTTATACATACATCATATTTAAAGTTAGGTAAAAGTCAGGTATCCCTAATGGAATAGAAAACATGAAAACTTGATTTCTGAGTTTAAATACTTAACATATACTCATGCCTGCAATTCCAGCTACTAGGAGGCAGAGATCTGAGGATCACAGTTCAAAAGCCAGTCCAAGCAGATAAATCTGTGAGACTCTTAGAAAAAAGCCAGAAGTGGTGATGTAGCTCAAGTGACAGAACACTATCCTTGAGCACAAAGAGGTTCAGGGACAATACCCAGGTCCTGAGTTCAAGCCTCAGGCCCAGCATAATCATCATCATCATCATCATCATCATCATCATCATCAACATCATCATCATCATCATCAATATACAGTCAAGAAAACATAGCATGGATGTGTTCAATAGCTTTAGGAGGACACACCTAATAGTACCAGTTGGCCATACCTTGAATTTCTCTGAGTCTCTAGGGTTAGAATGTTCCCAGCTGCCATTCTGCCTGGTAAGTACTGGTTGCTTCATTCAGAGCAAGGAAAACAGTAAGCTTAAAAACAAAAGTGGCCCAAAGCTTCTAAGAACAAAAGGCCAAAGGGTCATAAATGGAGAGGAAGGAGAGGACAGCCTGGTCAAAGAGTGGGCCCTCAATCAATGTGAGCAGTGACACAGGGATAAGCCTGCTTCTACTCCCACAAGCCACCACTGCCTTGAACAGCAGGTTCCTGGATGCATACATCAACAGCCTGCCAATCTCCTCTTGGATCAAATCTCCAGGGAGGGAAGGCCAGTTGTGTATAGCTACTCCTGCCTGTCAACCATATAAGACCCCAAAGACAACGGGTAACCTGACTTCCTGTACAATACATTCATCTCTTGTGAGATGAGCATGAATGAAGTCTTCAGATTCTGAGCAATGACAGGTCGTGTGTAGTGTTCTGCTTACCTGGTAGGAGACAGGTGTCACACCATAACCTACCTCTTAAGGATGTCATAAAGAAGAGTGAGAAAGCTGACATAGAGTGTCCTGTGCTGACAGTGGTAGTAAGGCATTGCGTCAAAAATCCATGCATAGGCAAAACTCCGGGACTATTTAAATCACAGTTAGGAAATAATGTTTTGTTTCATTGCAGCGGAGTAGAGACTGTCATGGAAAAGCATGTGATTTGAGCTGGCCCAGCAGTTCTCACATTTTAACATGATCAACTTGTAAGATACCCACATATAGCTTCTATCCTTTCAAACTCCAGATCCAATACCTCTGCGGCTTTCTGCAGGGAGGGTTACTGGAAACAGGACACAGACACATGCTTAGGCAATCTATCTACTACTGTACAAAACTTCAGTCCCCCCTTTTCCATCTTACTCCCCCCCTTTTTTTAAAAAAAAAAAAAAGCATTCCAGTTACATCTTGACTGAGGTCCATGTTATAAAACACCTCCTAGAAAGAAAGGGAATTTCTTGAACACATAGAATTAGGAGGTTATAACACTGGAATACTGGTGGTATTCAATTTTCTGAAGCATGTGGGAGTGTTCCAGGGACAACAGGGGTGAGGGGTGATCCTTAAATGTCTACTTTGTAGTTGCCATCCCTGCAAACTGGAGTGACATGAAGCAGCAGAATTTGTGTGTGGTTGAGCTGCAACCTGGTGATTCAGAATACAACAAGGTGGCAGACAAGTTTAATGAGACCTGCTCAATGTTCATCATAGAAAAGGTAAGCCTGCTACTGTCATAGAGTTTTCTGATGGTACAAATAATAAATGTTAGCACAGTCCTGTATAAACACATTCAATGCACTTCCTAGTGTGTTCATTATTTAGAAATACAATTTTATGGGAATCAGATTTTAGATTTTACTCATGTCACCAGAATTGTTGAACATGATGATGTTTGTGTCCGTTTTTCAATGTAACAGATGGCCATATGATGTGAGGCTAATCAAAATATATACCACATTTACTTTGCAAAGCAGATAATAAAAATTTAATACTGTGTCTTCTAAGTTTGGCCTTGTACCTGACCTTCCCAGGCCAGGGCTCATGCAATCAAGAATTGTATGCTGAGTACACTCACTGCAAATGACAAGTTCATGAGTTCATGTTTAGGTTTTCAACTAAAATTTAATATCATAGACATTTTTCTTAATTGATATTTATTTGGCTCTTAGTAACACTAAGGTACTTATTTTATCCTGTACAATACATAAAATTATTTTAAAACTATACCAAATTATTATTAGTAATATTAAAAAAGCAACATTCCCTTCCCATGTCTATTTTCCATGCTTTTTCCTTTTTCTTTTTTTTTTTTTGTCAGTTGTAGGGCTTGAACTAAGAGCCTGGGCACTGTCCCTGAGATTTTCTGCTCAAGGCTAGTACTCTACCACTTTGAGCTCTCTTTCCTGCCTAGACTTTGAATTGAGATACTCAAATCTCAGCCTCCTGAGTAGCTAGGACTACAGGTGTGAGCCACCAGCTCCTGGCTTAATCTTTTTAACTATGTACTTAAGATGTGTTTTGTCTCCCACTCAAGTACTAAACAGGCCTCACTCTATTTAGCTTCTGAGATCAAGGTGGTATGGCTATAGACTTGATGTGTGTGTGTGTGTGTGTGTGTGTGTGTGCGTGCACTTGCTAGTACTGAGGCTTAGTACCAGGGGTAGGTACTATACTTTAGCTTTTTCACTCAAGGCTAGTGGCTTGCCACTTGAGCCACAGCTTCAGTTCCAGCTTGTTAGTAGAGATATGAACTTTGCTGGTAGGCTGGCTTCCATCCTTGATCCTCAGATCTCAGACTCCTGAGTAGCTAGGATTACTGGTAGAAGCCACTGGTACATGCCAAGCTCTCTTAAGCTGTGTTTCATAATGGCAACATATACTTGAATTGTTCATCCTTTCGTTAAAGTTCCTAATTGGCTTACTATATTTACTGATATTTAGATTTTAAAATTTCACATTAATCTTTATTTTCCATTTAACACACATATCCATTGCTCTCTTTTCTGCTGTCATTTGGATTAAGCATTCCACTATTTTATACTCTGCTCTATTAGATTGTGGGCTATTTATGTTATTTGATTCATTCTTTGATTACTCTAGAAACAATGTTTATCCTGACTTATGAAATGCTAATGTAAATCAATATGTTTATCATTTTCTAGATAATGTAATTATCTTTGAATCCTTTAAGCGCCATTTATCTGCCATTTATCTAAGGGCTAGCTTTAGTTTTCTGAAGACATTTACTTTTTTCTCACTGTATATCAAAACTGCATTTCCATGCAGGATCATTTTTATCTAGAGCTAGTGCTTCTTATAATGTTGATCTAGTTGTAAACTTGCTTCAGATTTTGTCTGAAAAACATCTTTCTTGCATCCTCATTCTCTAAAGGATAACTTTGCTGGGTATAGAATTCTCTTTGACAGTTATTTTCTTTAGGCAGTTAGAAGAGATCATTCTCTTTTGACTTTTGTGTTTCATTTTGTACTTTCCTTGTCTTTGAGAGCTTGGCTCATCAAATCCCTATGTCCTTCAAATAGACCTTTTCCTTCCCCAGATCATCTAGTAGTTGAAAAAAACTATGTGCTTAGTAAAGTTTCTAAAAATGTAAGAAATAATGGTTTAAATTTTAGAACTGAAAGGCCAAGGAACTAAGAAATGTTTTACAATCTAAGGAAAAATTTAAAGGTATAAAAAAATCAAGTTAAATACAGAAAATTTGAGTTAACAGGAAACAGAATAGATGTAGTCAGAATAACTGGAAATTTAGCTGTGAAGAGGAAATAATGTTTAAGTCACAAAGAAGCTCAACAAAATGTGTGATAATGTCGAGACTTTTTACTAGAGGAAACAGTATCAAATCAAAAATAAACCCCTAAAAACTGCAGCAATGGGAGAAAGAACCAGATGAAGGCAGATTAATACTGTTAGGCCTGACAGTTCTGTAGAATAGAAAGATTCTGAAAGCTTGAAACCTTTCATGTCTGCTTTTCTATGAGGGACTGTAGCCATATTTATCCACTTCTTATACGTTCTAGGACAAGTTTTTTAAACTGCCAAGAGGCAAAGTAACAGAAAGGTAGACAGCACCAGCAGCAGTTACTGGAGTGCACATAAAAAGTTGAGATTTGCCAGAAGCCAATGATTCATGCCTGTAATCCTAGCTACTCAGGAGGCTGAGATTTGAGGATCATTGTTGGAAGCCAGCCCAGAAGGAAAGTCTGTGATATTCTCATCTCCAATAAACTACCAAAAAAGCTGGAAGTGGAGCTGTGCCTCAAATGTTAAGAGTACTACCCTTAAGCAAAAGAAGCTAAGGGACAGTATCCAAGCCCTGAGTTCACACCCAAGGGCCAGCAAAAAAGAAGTAAGATAGGAGAGGAAGAGTCAGCAAAGTTCATATAACTACTTAAGATACTGGACTTTTTCTTGTGTGGTATATAAAAATATTAAAGATTAAGCCAAGATTCAATCCAATGTCCATTTGTATGAAACACTGAATCTAAGATTTCTGAAAGAGGAAACTATATCAGCTGGCATTGAATTTGTTGAGTGTAATTTTTTATGAAAACCAGTGACCATGTTTTGTTTCCTATACTTTGGCAAGTGTCATCAACTCTAGCAATTTTTTTTTTTTATTCATTTGTAGATCGAAAGGATCCAAAACTTAGGTCTCTGGAATAGCTATCAGGCAAAGAAAAAAACCATTGATGCCAAGAATGGCCACCAAAGGAATGAGAGGCTGCTCTTCCATGGGACAGATATTAACTCTGTGCCACATGTCAATGAAAATGGCTTTAACCGCAGCTATGCAGGGAAGAACGGTAAGGAATCCAGGACTCTGACTGCTCCCCACTGAGGTTTCAGCTATGGTAACTCAAGCTGGCTAGGAACGCGAATTTCCACTGTTTTCCCCATACTTGGCCAGTTATCAATGCAACTTTCATGATAGGTCTCACTCTATTTCCTTTGGCCTATCTGGTCCTGAGATGTGGAATATTTGATTTCTAAAAATGAACCCTCCCCCCACAAAATGCTTAAATATTCTTTTACATTGTTTGATGTACTGGGACAACATGTCAAATTGTCCCCACAAAATGCTTAAATATTCTTTTACATTGTTTGATGTACTGGGACAACATGTCAAATTGTACGCTATACTGGAATTATTTTCTTTTTTGCCGGTCCTGGGGCTTGAACTCTGGGCCTGGGCACAGCTCCTGAGCTTCTTTTTGCTCAAGGCTTACATTCTACCACTTAAGCCACAGCACCACTTCCAGCTTTTTCTGTGTATGTGGTACTGGGAATTGAACCCAGGGCTTCATGCATATGAAGCAAGCACTCTACCAGTGAGCCACATTCCCAGCCTATAATGAAATTATTTTAAAGTACTTTTTCTCTTCACAGCTGTATGCTATGGAAAGGGAACCTATTTTGCTGTTAATGCCAGTTATTCTGCCAATGACACATACTCCAGGCCAGATGCAAATGGGAAAAAACACATCTACTACGTTCGAGTACTTGTTGGAGAATATACACTCGGAAATCAATCATACATTGTGCCTCCTGGAAAGAACCCTCAAAATCCTACTGACCTGTACGACACTGTCGTAGATAATGTTCACAGACCAAGCTTATTTGTGGTATTTTATGACTACCAAGCATACCCAGAGTATCTTATTACTTTTAGACAGTAATATTTTGGAGTCCTTTTCCAAAAGAACCCCAAAGTCAAGATACAGTATTTTTCTCCATTAACTTTTTCTAAGACTAAATTAACATCACTCTTTGTCACTGAAATCAGTTTTCTGAGCTTCTCTTCATAAAGGAATGAATCAATATTGAGAGAAAATACATCGACAGATGTATAGTTACAATTGTGTGTCCACAACTTACCTGTCTTCACACTGCCCAGTACGTGATGCCAGCTACACCTTCAGTGAAAGTGAAATCCTTCTTTGCTAAGATTAATCAACTCTAAGGTTTTATTTTTTATGTTTTTTGGGTCTGGTCGTGGGGCCTGTACTCTGGGTCTGGGCACTGTCCCTCAGCTCTTCAGCTCAAGGCTAGCACTCTAACACTTGAGCCACAACGCCACTTCCGGCTTTTTTTTCTTTTTGCTTATGTGGTGCTGAGGAATCGAACCCCGGGCCTCAGGCATGCAAGGCAAGCGCTCTACCACTGAGCCACCTTCCCAGCCCCAACTCTAAGGTTTATTAAATGCCTTATTTCCCTTGGCAGCCTAGCTTTGGATGATTTTAAAGCCTTGTGTATAACCAAAGGAATTAAGCAGTCATATTGCTATTTTGCTAATTTAATACCTATGCAATGGCAAAATTGTTTTTCCTAATTCCTCAGGGAAATTGCAGATTTGAACATCACTCATTAAATACCTCGTTTACGCAGGTGATAGAATAAGTGCTTTTTATGCATTATTTTATTCCCATGATTAGTCCTAAAATGTAAATACTATATCCAAAGGCTGAGGAGACATGCTCAGAGTGCAAGAAGGTTCTTTGTCTGAGGTCAGCTAAACAGGAATCCTTAGAACCAGCTACGGAGTCTTTGCTGCCTGTCACATCCAGCCTTTCACTGAAGAACATGGCCTCCAATGATGCCACTGCCTCAAAATATCTCAGATGATATGTGAGACACCCCCATATTTCCTTGCCTATTTATTTCCTCTGGATTTGGTTTCCACTGCCTCTTTTTCTTTTTTCCCCCCTTCAGTCGTGGGGCTTGAACTCTGGGCCTAGGCACTGTCCCTGACCTCTTCAGCTAAAGGCAAGCGCTCTACCACTTAAGCCACAGCGCCACTTCCTTTGCTTAATTGGCGATAAGAGTCTCACCGACTTTCCTGCCCGGGCTTGCTTTGAACTACAATTCCCAGATGTCAGCCTTCTGAGTAGCTAGGATTACAGGTGTGAGTCACTGGTCCTTTTATACCAAGGCCTTAACTTTCTCGTGAGGTCTCTGCAGATCAAAAACTAAGTGGAATGAGAGGCTTTGTCTCAGCGGAACTTTCATTTTTCTTATCTCTGTCTATCCTAAGTACTTTCTGTATCAGGCCAAGTACCTATGAAGACTAATTGAAAAAGCCTTATGATAAATATACTTATCACAAAAAAGAATACTTTTCTGAAAAGTTTCAGGAAATACTACTTAGGCTTACTATTATAATTCACTGAAATTATGTACAGATAATTTTGAAGTTCTATCCTTTTCTATTCTAGTCTATGTGGATTCTTGCATACTGAATTGAGTTTGGCTAATAAGCCATAAATAGCAAACAGGAGTTATCTGAAAAGATAGATAAATTTCTACAATAGGAACATGTCAAATAAAAGTTACAGCACTTTTTACCATTGGCCACAACATATTCTGCCCCAAAGCATTTTGATGAAGTACTGACAAAGATTTCTATCATATTTTCTCAGTCAAATAATGAACATATGTCACCAAGAACCATACCCTTGTGGAGTTATTACATTCTGATTGGGGAAGACAGACAATGAATGATCAAATAAATGGGTAAATACACAGTGGTTAGTCTAGCATGTTCTTTGGTTGGCCTTGGACCAACTTAGTTCTTAGAATAACTACACAGCTATCTGTCTTTGGGAGGGTAAGGGGAAGCACAGAAATGGAGGGACAAAGGGTGAACAAATGCAGCGGTGGTACTCACTAGACCCTATATTGAAAATGAACTATACAACTTGTGAGTGAGGATGTGAGGGAAAAACTGGGAGAGGGTAAGGGAAGGGCTGACATTGTCCAAAAAGAAACGTGCTCTTTACCTGACTTATGTATTCTGTATATCTCCTTTATAATAACAATTAAAATGAAAAAAGAATAATTATATAATGTACTATCCTGAATTAGAGACAGACTGACATGATTCTGTTCAAGTCCTCTCCTAGAAACAGTATACTTGAATGCTTTACATTTTCTACAAAGGGATAGATTGTGGATATATTTGATTTTCTATACTATACAGTCTCTGTGATAATGTAACTCTGCCACTGCACTTCTAAAGATGTCATAGATAATATGAAATGCAAAGCATGGAGTAGGTCTTCCAATAAACTTTCTTCATGAAAACAAGCAGCAGATTGATCCCAGGATGAAGCTGATGGAGGCTGCTTCCTGCTGGGAATACTGGGAAATTACAATTAAGGTAGTCTGGAAGGATGAGATGGAGGAGGAAAGGCAAAGGAACCTAGGACAGCAAGCTTACTAAAAGAGCAATGCACCTGACTACAAACTGAAATTGAGTCACACACTTGTAATCCTAACACTCAGGAGCCTAAGAGACAGGAGAGAATTATGAGGTTAAAGTCAGCTTCTGAATTCATAATCTCATATAGTGAGACTCTGCTAAGAAAAAGAAGAATAAAAACCACAGAAAACAATGTTTAAAAAATACTTTTTCATGTTATTTCATATTTTTTTCCCTTGTATCAAAAGTTGTGCAACCATCCTGGTTACTTGTGGGTTCACTACACAGTCCAGCAAGTCGTCTGTGGAGATGAACACTGAGGGAGGGGCCGTGGTGCTGTTAGAGGCAATTGACTCCTCCACAGCATTGTCACGTTGTTTGATCATCAGTTGCCTCCTGGTGCAGGACGGTTTTGGAAAGAGTTCCTCATCTTTGCAGACAAATCCTCTGCCATTGCTTTCAAATACGTCTCTTCTTTCTGAAGAGAGTTCTTCAGAGTTCGGTGTGACAGGCACCAGATGAGGACCAAAGGGGCTTGCTGCCCCCTGCGTTGTGGTTCCCATGGTTACACTCTGGCTGTGTGTGTCCTTTACCTCCATGGGGCTGTTCATGCTTAGTTCATCCTTTCTAAGGTTCTCCCCATGTGTTCCTACTACTTGAATTTCTCCTACTTTAGATGTTCTGTAATGGTCAAAAAAGGCAGAAACAGCTCCATTTAAATAGTGGCAATTGACTTCATGGGATGTTTCTTCCACCTGAGGATAAAGACAAACCCTTCAGGATGCTAGCATACACTTAGGAAAAGTAAAAATGAATGTATTATCTAGGCTGATTCACCATAGGAATCCAAAGCCACAATGAAATCCGGAACCGCCTACCTCAGTGGGGTTTAGCCAGGCACTGGTATTGTGTGGGTTCTCCGCAGTTTTCAGTGCACACACCAGCATCCGGGTGATTGCCTCTTCCACTCGGGCTAGGTGGTCTTCTTCCTAAGTTAGATTAAAAAAACACAACAACAACAACAAACCTCTTTTTTTTTTTTTTTTTGTCAGTCATGGGGCTTGAACTCTGGGCTTGGGCTCTGTCCCTGTGCTCTTCAGCTAAAGGTGAGTGCTCTATGGCTTGAGCCACAGAACCACTTCCAACAACAAATCTCTTAAGCACTCGTCTCTCACTTTTTGGTCTAAAAGAGAATATAGACTCTTTTAACAGTGTTCTCTGTTCTCATTAATTCAAGCTTTGTGACAGAATGAATATGCTAATGGCAGAACTATGATATTTGTATTCAGTATCATCTGCCATCTGGAACAGATGTAGAATAGACCAATAGGCAAATTTAAGTGTGTATTTTGTCAGTAAGTCATATGCCTTCAGTATAAGCCACCTTTGTGCTTCCCCCCCCATTCTTTAACATGTTTAACATTTTCAAAAAGTATCATCACACAAAAGAATACCTCTTATGGAATTAGAAAAGCAAATTATCTGAGGGTCAGAGAAAAGTTGTAAACACGCTTCACTCTAAGAATGAGGTGAACAGGCTGGGAGAGCAGATCAGCAATACAGAGTTTACTATGCAGAATGTCTGTGTTAGATCCCTTTGACTGGGGGTATGAAGGAGAAGTGGGTAGCCATCCAAACACAGCTCTCCCAAGCTACTACATGTATACACTGTAGCATTAATGATAAATGACAGCAAAAGCACCAACTCCTATTAATCAAAAACATAAAAGGGGGAAAACCACAACCTGACATCTGTAATATACATAATTAATATAGATATATAGATACTGATGTAGAAAGAGAATGGACAGGGTCAGGTGGTAGAACAGATGCTTATTCCGTTTGACTACATGAATGAAAAGGTGAGAGTACCAGTCAGGAGAGACTATGACCCAAAGAGAAAAAGAGAAGAGCCTAGGAAATCACAAAAGAAGTAACTGGACATCTGAAAAACCACAGAGTAACAGAAAGATGACACAGAAAAAATTAGGAAACAGTCCAAAGCTCCAACCTCAGCTCCCATGTAGACAGTGTAAACCTAAGCCACAACCACAGGTAATCCAGGGGACTCTGGCAAGCAGACTGCAATCACTAGTGAATGGATAAACCCACAGTTCTTTCAAGCCTTAAATCCAGTGCAGGGACTCTATTGTGCCTCTTTTGGCAGGCTAGTATTTGAGAAGGAAGCCATTTTATCAACCCCTCCTTCATGATCTTGGAGAGTCATAGCCAGATACTATCTTGGGGGGGGGGGGGGGGGTGGAGGGGCTCTGAGGCCCTGAAACAAGGAACAATAATAGCTCAGGGAGTTTGGGGACAGGGACAAAAACACTGCAGTCCAAACAAGGTCATCCTGGTGTATTGGCCAGCAAATTCATCACCAAATTGTATATCTTCAGCGCAGAGATTTTATTTTTAAAAGAACAACAAAAAAGTACCAGCTCAATCCATGAATTTATACTGACGCTGACAGGATCGATGGATTCTACGTAATGCCACCAGTGTCTGGGAACAAACAGAACCTGAAAAACCAAACAAAAAATAGCACAATTATGGGATGTTTCATTTTTATGTCAGTCAG